TAAGCAACTAGACAAATGAAGCAATAATCACATGAAATATGGGGTATGTAGCTAGTGATAATAATTTCTAACTATTTTTACATGTCATTGTGGTTGTCCAATCATTATTTCAGTACTTGCAGTAAAGAAAAAAACCACATGATCTAAAAGAATTCCAGCTAACAAACACCTTTTTATCTCTAAATTCAATAATACACTGTTTCAAAAATTTATCTGTAAATTTTATGGAGAAAAAATAAAGATATTTCATTTTTCAACTTTTGGTTACGGACACTACACATTCTACAAGTTATTTACAATAGGATGAAACTTAACTTTAAATAGAGGAATTTCAACAAGATTTTCTTAAATGTAGCACCAGTTGACTTAAACAATGAAAAAATAATGCAATGTTATTTGACTTAAATCCTAGGATGTCAATAGCATCTGCCAATATCAAGGTGATGTAACACCAAGGATCTTGTATATGAAAATGGTGCAATCTGGGTTTCCCAAATTAGTTGCAATATCAAAATGAGAAAGAAAAATAAAGTACATTGACTAACTTGTTAAACAAACTTCTGACCCTCGTGAATAAATTTGCATTAGTGTTTTAACACCACCTGTTTCAAACTGCCTCAAATTCAGGTTACGGACACTACAGGGTTTTGTAGTGTCCGTAACCACATTTGTAATGATAACAGACAAACAGTGGTGATGATCAGGAAAATTACAACACATCTCAGCATCTATATGAGCTGCCTGTCTAGGAAATTAGTTAAGATATTTATAGAGCTTTCTAATTTCACAGAATGAAAGTGGTTACGGACACTACAGTTTTTTGTAAAATCTTAATTTTCCACATTAAAACATGATGAAATTTCATTTCAATTGTTACATTATCCCAACTTTTTTCTGTAAGTAACAGAGCATTAACACTGTGATTTTGGACAGAAATCTGAGAAAATAAATGATATGGAAATTATTTTTATTTGGCATAATGAGAGGGGTGAAATTATGTGAAAAATGTATAACATTGCACTCCTATTACATTTTCTTTCATATCTTCAAAAGTTGTTATTCAATCCTGAAAATTCAAGCACCAAAATAATTTGTAAAATAAATTCTAAAGTCTGATAATGATCATTGACATGAAAATATATGATATATAACAATTATTTCAATTGAAAAATGGTGTAATTTCAAAGCGCAACCGCATAACGCTGAAAAAAGGTCATTTTTGGGGTACATTATTTGCATTTACTAAAATTCTGTTAAGGCTAGATCAACAAAATTTTGCACACAAGTCCTTTATAAGTATGCCTATAAATGAATTATGATAAATTACATGTAAAGATATTAACATTTCTAAAAATCATGTATAACAGTGTGATATTCTTAATGCGCCCTATATTGTGTTTCACCCGTATGCGTGACGAGGGTAAACTTGGCGAATTATCCATGATCGAGGAATTCGGGGAAAGACAATAGACTATACTTCACAGTGGTCGTATTGGCGAAATCGTCACCTTCAGTTTAACCATTGAACTGTTGATTTTGTTGACTTTTTGTAGTTGATGTTGATATATGTGATGTTGACTGTGAAAATTATATCTTATATAATGTAAATCTAAAGCAAAATAATATAATTAAAAGAAAATTTGTGTTGAAATGTGTCCGTAGCACGAATGAGGTCAACCCAGCGTGCTACTTTTCCCGTCAGGGAGGGCACAACTTATGTTATGTTGGGGGTATGCCAGTTTGCCGGCTGCCCCACTGTTGTGTAGACCACTGTGGACAATACCTGCCAACTCGAATAAAACATTAAACTTAAATACTTAGCATTTGTTTATTATATATAGGTCTTTGATAATGGACTAACAATATTAGTGTGAAAAATATCAGTCAGCATTTTACTCAAAGATAAATTGTATTTGCTGACAATGACATTGTATCGAACATAGAACTTACAAAATGATGAATTTAAACGAGAGTGTTGATATTCTTGTTTCATCAACTTGTTTGTCAATAATTTACCTCGTTTTAGAAATTATTCATACGTAGAGCATGCCCTTGCTTATCGAATCAACTCAGATATATAAACTCCGTATGCAGGTGATGAAGGTATATTGCTGCATATAAATTTTGCAACTACATTCTGTTTTAAATGATCTTTAAAAAAGATCAATAGATAAAAAATAAAACTGCTAATAAAGGGTCGAAAGTCTACCGGTATTTAAGTGAATTCAAATGGAATGTTGGAAGACCTTATCTCTAAAAAAATACATAGACATTTTCAATCAGAAACTCGAACATTTCTTAATGTCAACTTCAGAGTACTTTAACAGAAAATAACTTTACAAATGACCGAAGACAAGGTACGTAAATGTACGAGTTAATCCATTTTAATATATAAAAAACAGATCCTATGATGTCAAAAAGTCTGAACTATATATACCCACGACATCTTGAAATTTAACAAAGGAGACCGACAAAAGAGCAAAATGTGTGTATGCAAAAGAAAAGTTGCAAAAACTGAAAGGAATGCTGTCTAGCGGAAAGGGAAATCGTTGTTTTAGGCATGAACGTGATATCACGTATGGAGTTTTGAAAGCAACACATCAAAGATGTTGGGGGTCATAAAATAAATTTCAGGAAATGTGTAGATACAAATTTAATAAAATAGACTTTTTTGATTACTGTTTTTTTAAAAGTATTTTCATTTCAATATACCTTCACTACTAATGACTTATTTTATCGTCAATAAAAACTGCAGCATGCAACTTATGAAAAAGTTACATGTATTACCAGGAGTTTTATTTGAATTGATTACCGTTGTCTTAGAATATCAAATTCTAGCAATTTTCTATTAAAATTCTTTTAATTAAGATAATTTTAAAAAATACAAATGGTTTTGGTTACACATTTACGTGCCATTGATTCATTTTTATTTTAAACATAATTATATTAAAACTGATATACCACATTGTTTCCGAGGGTTTGAGGTCGGCTACACGCAACTTCTTATTTCAGAAATTTGGTACATGATATAAAGACTATAATCACGTGCTCTTATACTACATCCGATTCATGTCAATGACTTTTTTTTCTCCCAAGCTTCTGTAAATGGATAGATAAACAATACTGATTGCTGAAGATTCGTTTATGATTTCGTACAGAAGAATTCATTTAGAAATGCATCTAAGATTTCTGTCTTTCCTCGATACATGCAATGTGCTCAATGTCTGCTAGCCGTTTAAGGACCTGTAGAACTTTCCCCCTGTCAATTATCATATTTATGGTCCAGCGAAGCTTTTTCTCTAACTACTTTTCCTCTGTTGATACCCTATACATGCGAGTCTTTGACAGACAATGCTTGTCAATCAGGAACACAAATAATGCTTCCCAGGAAGAAATTCAGATCAGTTAATTTAAATATAGAAAGTTTTCCTCCCGTCAATTCATTGTCTGTTCTGGAAATTGTGTTCTCGACTGTTCTTGTGTGCCATCTTTTCTTGTGTACAACAAAGATGTATTAGTTTGCATAAGCATCAACAAAACTAAGTCAACACACCTGTAGGTGAAGGGAAAACTTTCATATCTGCATGCAAGTGTACAATGTATAGGCACTGATATGTTAATGCATAAATGGATTTTAGTCATCCATAAATGTATCCATATCCTACGTATGTCTTAAAGAATAAGCATCAACAAGAAAAGGTACTTTATACAAAGTGGTATCTACACTATACATATACATAAGCAAACTTTTATAAGCAGTGTCTCTTGAGAAAATACCCCGCCCTTCTTCTGTATTTACTTTTGAAAGTGTCATAAATAGTATGAACAAGGGCATGGGTCTACTACTGAATAAAACTGAATTTCCTTCACCAACGTAAACCTTTATTGACCGAATGATACTGGGGAAGACGAAGAAAAGTTTACAGAAAAGTAACTTGCAAATTGACACTGGAAATTCTTCGATCAAAAATCTTGCCTCAGGTGAGTTTAAAAAGCTACACCACAAATGATGTTGATATATGACAATTAATAAAGTCCAGAAATGTTGCACAAAGATACGTAAATATTTTTATCGAGAGCGATTATTTCAACTTATTTGGCAACATCTAGAAATTTACTCTTAATGAGAACTACTGTCATTTCTAGCAATGACTCTATTATAAAGGATTTTTGTTCTAGCTTAATTTTTCCCAATACAAGCCCTCTTAAGTCTTGTTAATTAAATGGAATACAATTAACACATATATTACATGTATAAACTTCTATACTTCTGAGAAAATAAAAATGACATATTAGAAAAACCGCCCCCCATCCCGCAACAAAATGCAAGGCCTGACAGAGGTCCAACGGTCACAGTATTACATATATACATGTACATTACGTACATGTACTCAACTGTTAACAAACATGCACTATACGTGATACACTTCCCTTTATATCTGGCGATTGAAACTTAGTCATAAAAAACTATTTGATTTCAAAATTGTTTTCTTTGCCTGAAATACGTCATATTATGTTTAAGAGTTCATGTGTAAATACCCCCAGAAGCCACATCCCCTCACAACATCGTAAATTTGTTTCAAGTGGAAACCTGGTCGTTATATGCATGTCCTGTAACATGCTTCTGTACTAATAGATGAAAGACCCACGGGATATTACATATCAAGAGTATGACAAATTCTGAAGTTATTAGCTTTTGATTGACGATTGAAAAAAGAAACCGAAAAAGTCCCACTGCCTTTGGATTATTCAATATATAAACCCTACAGCCTTATTATCCGATGTATGACCGGATTATCAGTTTTATATTATTAGCAAGTCATGATTAAATGAGCTTTCAGATTTTGGTTCCGAGATTCAATTTCCAGGAACGGATCAATGCAAAACACAGATACTTTCATTAATTAAAAGAGGCCACATGATTAATTTATTAAACGTGGGTTTACCGATACATATTCAAGATAACCCCTTCTTTGTTAAAAAGAAAAAAGAAACACAACTTTTTAAGTTACAATGCAGCATTATTTATTAAACGTACACCGTATAAGTAGTAGCGTACAACCATTATTATCAACAAAATGATTGTTACAAGATTCCATCATATAAAGAAAATCAAGAAGAAATTGCTAACAACATATATTAGAAATCAGTAACCTGTAATTATAAACTCGTCCATTGATCCCAAATTTTAAGGTCGATATTTTTTGTTGTTGTGGCCGAGAATTGCAAAAAAGCTCACATAATGCTGTAACCTAATATTGTAATTTGTAGTTTTTTAATCAAGTATATTTAAAAAAAAAATGAACCAATCACCGGGCCCGTAGGGGTTGGTTAGGTCTATCATAAGAAACTCGAATGAAATTCTTGCAAATGATACTCACTTAATAGCGCAAGTACAAGTATAAGCCTGATTTTTTATCTTGATTATATTTTTGGAAGGAGAGGTTTCTTTTGATTTCTGTGAATATCTCTATACAAATGCCTATTTTTGTTACGACATAAGGAAGAACTGTTCTGTCACAGATTGATAAATTAAAAGCCGAAATGCTGATCCCAGTAGTATACGCTGTTATAAATGTTCATATACATGATAACTTTTTTAACAAGTCGAAAAGATAAGTTTTAATTGCATGCAAATTATCACAGTCTAGAGAAGTTCCGACATAAGAATAAGAAGGCAATGCAAAATTAAAACAAACAAAGCAGATTGATTTGGATTGTGCGTTCAACAATAAATACAATGGAATCTGTCATAGTTTGATATCATCTTCGACCATTACAACATATGTTTCCTTTGGCTCATACACATTTTACAAAACATTCTTCCTTTTTGGAATACAGGTATCAAATGCCATCACAGTTCACATCTCTCCCACACGTCGTGGGTGTTCAAATATCCCGGTCCAACCCAGCTGCGTGTCATCTGTTCGTAGCACCAAATGAATATATTGACGTCATGCGACGCTGCATCAACGTCCGATTGCGCGCACAACGGCAAGTTAGAATCTTCCAGAAAGTCTTTCTGAAGTTAGCATTGCAAAGTGCGTAGCACACTGGATTGATAGTACTGTTTATGTAACAAAACCAGTAAGCTGAAAAAAGCATTAGAAACACCGCGTGAGATTAAGTTAAATTCAATGGATGGTACATATATACATAAATTTTAACACTTTAAAAGAAATGTTATGTAATACAAAATAATAAACGACTTAATCTTAATACAAATAATTTTTTGATAAAATTGATAGGGTAAGGATCTGTCTTTTCTAACTTCAACTCTTTTTGGAATTCCCGAAGTAAACACGTTTACATGTTTTGTTTGATGTATATCAATAAATATGTTTAATTGGAATCTATGATTTCGCAATTTCTGTTTTCAAAAATGAAAACCCACGTAACGTACTATGACAGTAATGAAACTAGTGCAGGAAATTGTTACTTTGTTCATCTTCAATCATACACGTATACTCCTACCCCAGATAACTTATACTCGTAAATGTATTAATTTGTCAAATAAATGATAATGATTCGGTCTCCAGACTGATGAAGACTGATGCAGAACAAATTCTGATATTTAATTGTTTCTAAAAATGAAATAATTCGTAACAAAGAACTATTTGTTTTGTAGTTCAAAAATATCAATACGTTCTCAATTTTCATCTTTTGTGTTCCTTGGACTATTGACAACATGATATTGGGGACCGTGAACTGATCAAAATCAAGCTGCACACTAATTATATCACTGTCAAAAGTATTTAGATAACAAATATATTATTTGATTGATAAGAAGAAAATAATAGTCCTGTGATATCTTTATAAAGAGAAAACTCTAGTGACGTGCGTGGTACAAATGTCGTGACGCATGTACGACGTGCCCGATCTATATAGGTCTTATGTAAAGACATTTTATTTGTCACAAGTTACATAAGGGATAATAAGGCTTCCATTACCGGCAACTCACCTAGCCGATTTAACGGAGATTTCCATGCCTTTAATAAGATGGTAGCCATAATATTACCAATTTTCACATTATCAAGATCGATTTACAGCAAAGAACATGTACAAGTTTAAGTTAGTTGAAGTAACGCAGTTAAGTGTAGCTTTAAAGTTAACATTCACATTTCTTATATCATTAATTGCATGTATATTGATTCATTTGATTATTAGCTTTCTGTTTGGCTAAACTCAGACACTCTAGAATGAAATATGGAGATAACAAACAACAGGGCTTAAAAGTCTAAAGGAAAAACACAAATCAGGAACAGGGCGAAAACGGAGCTCTAAAACCATCAGAAGCGGGATCATATGGAATGGAGAAGTAAGCATCCCCTGCGTGCATGCTCCTTGGCATAGTCGGGCAAACGAAAAAAAAAAACAACTGTGTATGAGTAATGGCCAAACAAATATGAAAAAACAAAACCAGTCAGCAATCGACTTAATGACAGTTTGTATCTGCTGAATTGGCCATCGCATCTACATGTACCCAATACTAGTTGCAAAATGCTGACTTTATCAAGATTGTCGATATCCTTGTTTCATCAGTAGCTTGCGTCGTTTTAGTATAGAGTATGCTCTTTCGTATCGATTCAACAAAACATAACCCCCATATATATGCAAGTGATAAAGGTATTTTGATACATGAGTATGCGGGACTTGACGATAGAAAAGTTCAAATTATAACGATTATCATAAAGTTTTACTGTTAGATTGTCATTAAGGTCTTTGTATATTAAAATGTATAAATATGAAGAACAGATTGTGTTAGACTCTGGGGTATCTTTTATTTCAAACTCACTGGAATTTATCAAGTAAACGTATGAATTAAAGTAACCATTGTTTATTAATATACGTCTTAGATATATCTAAATGTCGTGTTCAAGGCCACAGCAAGTGATTTCTTCCTTTCATGTATAGGTATTGGGTCTTTTGCTTAACGTAATCTGATTTTATAAATATATTTAGGAAAGGAATAAATGCCATTTACTAAAAAATCACACTAACCTCTGGTTTCTCAGTATACTTGCAAAACATAAACGATAGAGCTGTAAATATCTGAATGTTTAGAAGAAAATACGAATATATGATTTAAGTGAAAACTATACTAAACACTCTTAAAAAAGTTTTACTTAGTAGTCATTTTTTACTTGAAATAACAAAGATAAGTAAAAGATAATTACTAAGCATTTACTTAAAATTTTAAATCAATTACTTAAATATATGGCAATTACTAAATTCAAATGTTTTACTTGATTTTTGTATTTTAAAGAATTGGTTTACTTAAACACTAAAAAGTTTTACTTAGTAATTTATATTTACTTAAATTTGTGTATATAAGTAATAACATTACTTGGCCTATACTTAGATTTAACCACTATTTACTATATATAGCTAATATTTTTTTGACCCCATAAACAAAGTTTCGGGAGTATATAGTTTTTGTCGTGTCCGTCTGTCTGTCTGTCTCTCTGTTTGTCTGTTTTTCCGCAAAAAATTTAACCTTGCCTATAACTTTTGATTTAGCGGAGCTATGACTTGTATATTTCACATATCCATTCCTTTTGACAAGACCTTTCTTTGAGTATCGCCAAATTTGTACTTTTGACCTTGACCTTGGAGTTTGACCCACTTTTACAAATTCCAAACTTTTTCTTTAGCCATATCTTTTCAACAGTAAATACCAGGACATTAATACTTCACATATATTTTTTGTTGAAAGACCTTTCATTGGATACCAATAACCTTGACCATTTGACTTTGACCTTGGAGATTTCAATCCTTGTGAAAAAACTTTAACCTTGGCCATTACTTTTGAACGATAAGGATAGGGCTTTCATACTTACATATATGTAATTCCTGTGAGAAGACCAGTCATTGGATACCAAGAACTTTGACCCTTTGACATTGACCGTGGAGTTTGACCCACTTTTAAAAAGCAAACATTGACTTTAACTTTAAAAGGGTTAGGGTTAGTGCATTCATACTTTACAAATTTCATCCTTGTGACAAGACATTTCTTTGGGTACCACCAAATCTGATCCTTTGTCCTTGACCTTGGAGTTTGATCTACATTTCAAAATTGGTAGCCTTGACCATAACTTTTGAAAGGTTAGGGCTAGTGCTTTCATATTTCAGATATGAATTTTTTGTGGCAGGACCTTTCATTAGATACCAATAACATTGACCATTTGACCTTGACCTTTGAGATATCAAGAAATACCAATATATTGAATTTGCATATAAGAAAAGTTTAACCTTTGCTATGTTGCCATACGAGGGGCATCATTGTTTCCCAAACACATCTTGTTTAAATTGTATTTAATTGTTTTACTTAAAACGCTAATCTATTTACTGAATCAAGGAGAATTCAGAGCAGTTTCAATACAAATAATTACTTAAAAATGGTAGTCTAATCACTATCAGGATTGAATTCTTGAAATGTTATATATAATTTTGGCTTCCATATTAATTGTCTATGAGGAGGAGTTATCTTCCTCCTAAGTATTCCTTCATGTAAAAAAAAAAGTCATACTAATTAAAATGCTGTATTAAGTACTTGAAACTTTAAACCATTTTTAAACTGGTCCTTAAAAAGAGACAACTTATTCAATTTATAAGGCTTTTGATGTTGGAATTAAATGTTTTATTGTTAAATATAATAAAACAATTACAAAAAAATTGGCAAAAGAAATAGAAAGTATTGTTACCATTCCAAGTAGATTTCATCTAATTGACTACTCAGAAAGCTCAATTAGGACACTATGATCAAGAAAACTGTGATAAGTCTACATTTTGTATTTCATAGTTACATGTATCTCCTTTATCAGAGGGACGATACTTTGCAGTTTTTCTTGTAAATAATGTCGATTTTAGTAAATATGATAAGTATTTCATTTACTTAGCATTCACTTAAGTAATAATATTCTAGATTTTAATTAATTTCAGAATTACATTTACTTAGTAATAATTCATAAAATGTAGTAAATAGAAAGCATATTATCTCTAAATTAAGTAATAATAATTTACTAAAAATGAGTAGTTCATTTAGTAATAGAATTCCTATTGAGTATTGATACTTAGTAAATCATTTTATAAGTAAATGAATTCATCCTTATTACTAATTATGTTTACAATTACTAACCATGATAGTCATTTACTTGCTATTCTGACTAAATGGATTACTAATAATTACTAGTTTTTCTTAATCTAATATCTTATTTTAAAAACAACAAGTAAAACTTTTTTTAGAGTGAAAGTAATTTTTTGTTTGTCTTCATAAGGGATAAAAATGTCATTTTTTCCCACCATGATTGAACCGTCAAATACATTATGATGAAAAAAATTGTTATATTGAGTTGGGATGACCTAGCGTTCAAATAAGGTCTTTTTCCATTTTAATACAAATGTACATTCTAATTTAAGGTTTAAATTATCTTCCTCTGAGACCCACCAGTCCCCAAAAGTCACTTCGAATTTAATCAAATTTTATACCCAGGTCCATAAAATCGAATCTAACTTGGAACTGTTCGCATTAAGTATGATTTAGGGTTGCTCTGATACTCTCAGAAAAGCTTTCACTTAATTTCTGAAAAAAGGATTTTAAAAATAATAAATTCGAAATATTTAAGAAATGAACTCATTAGCTAAGAAAAAAATACGGTGTAATCTGGGTTTGGGTAATTTATACTTTATAAACTGTAAATTTTTACAATTAAGTATACGAGTATATGGGATAAAAAGACTATTTTACCTCAAATATGCACTAAATTGTACAAATTAAAATGTGATGTCAAGCGGTATTCTTATACGCTAGTATAATTGAGGGACTAATCAAACTATGCTGTTCTTCATCAGAAGTTATTTTTTAATTTTTTTTTCTACAAAAGACTACCATGGGAAACATTGATCTCCTGTTTATACTATCTCTGGGCCTATGAAATGACCAACCTTTAATCTGAACTACCCCATGGTACTTCCTCAATCCTCATAGGGTATATGTCTGGCAGTTGATCCGATACGCGAAAGCATGCTCTAGGTATTAAAAATTTCTAAACAGAGGCAAGCTATTAGCAAATAGGTTGATGAAACAAAAATA